AAAGTGTTGGAACTAGGATGTTAGAGGTGCACTGATACACTTAGTTAGACTACCCCTACAAAGAAAGCCAAAGTGGTCTAAGGCTCTCAGTAAAAGCTATTAATCCACAGTCGTGTATGTTTTGGCCTGCTGCCTGCTATATGGTGGTCAAGATTTTCAGAATGAATCAGTGTGTTTCCCGTGAAGTTTCGGAAGGATATTTCTTGTTTTTATAGTTTAAGACTTTTCCGTCAACAAAACAAAAATGAGAAAGCTACAGTTCAAGAGGTCTAGAAGGAACTAAAACATTAAGACTCAGATACAATTTCTAGGAAAATCTCAGCATATATACCACCTGTAAATACACCCCCCCCCCCATTCCCGGCAAAGTACACATTTCTTCCAGACCCATAGATCTCACACTGGATGAGGAATTCAGGATCAGACTTTCATACAAGACATCAAATAAACAAGTGTCTGTCAGTCAGGCTTACAGTACCAGATGGAACAAAACAACTACAGTCGCACATAAAGTCTCTATGCCTTTCCCCAGCTCTTCTTCCTGCTTTCACTTCCTGTTTTCACTTCCTGTGGTGCAAGAGATGAATATAGGATTATTTCTAGATTTCGAAAACAAAAGTACCAGTTCTTACTTCATTATTTCTCAGACTTTTCTTTATACTTACTGGGCACAATATCCTTATTTTCATTAAATTCTAAACTGTCATAGATACTAGTATTCCGTAATTCCGCGGCGTGGACGGAATTTGACAAAACATCAATTTTTTGCAGAATCCCTGATTTTCATGAAAATCCCGCGGAATTACCAGAATTTCCAGAAATTACATATTTTACGATCTCCTACCTTTGCGGGGTATTTGAAGAGTGTCTGTTTATGTCCAACAATCAATCATTATTGAGTACAAGTATGATTTCACCGTGAAATTCAACATTCTATCACGTTTAAATTCGCTAAAGCAAGTTCGCTAATGAAGCGCAGTTCTTACCTAGAAAGTAGCTGACTTCCGTTTCCGTTTTTCATCGTTTTAAAAGATTGCAGAATTTGGACTTTTTTTGAAAATTTGTGCAGAATTTCGATTTTCTCCTTGCAGAATTTGCTTTTTTTCTTGCAGAATTTTGTATCTGTGAACTGTGTACTAGACCTTAGAGATTTTCAACTCAGTATCAGTCAAGTGTTATAAAATCCCACCAAAAAACTAAAAGTGAAATGTTGTCATGTTGTGACATTATTAGTCTAGGGACTAATTACAAATGAACTGGAAACTAAAAACAGAGTTTATAGACTGTTCAACCCTGTTACTTCAACTGAATGACACCGAACGCCAACAGTCAACCACTAAACATCGACCATAAAACAATCCACAACAATATGTCACCATTTCTGGTGGTGACATGAAGGAGAATAACTTTCCTAAAGCAAATGGTTACCAGTGATCTCCACAGGATTTTTTCTCAAGTGGGCGCAAAATTCTCATTTTCACATTACAGACCAAAATTAGTCAAAATATGCCCATTTTTCATGATTTTTTCTCATCTTCAAGTGGGTGCAATTGGATTTTCAGGTGGGTGCAAGCCTATTTTCAAAATCTCAGGTGGGTGCTGCGCCCACTTGCTTTAACACTGGGTAGATCACTGGTTACATAGAAGCCAATAAAGAACCAGAATTGTGACTTATGCCAAAAGACAGGATTAACATTATACATTCAGTTTAACTATAACTCCTGGTTATGCCTCTTAGAGTCTAGTAGCCATCAATACATACAAATTACTGATAAATACGTTCATATCAAGTATGTTTATCTCGAAATTAGTGCCATTCATTAGGACCATTACTTCCAACTGTTATCTGTTTTATACATCATCAGCTATTGCTTTTATTATCCGAAAAGAACAATTTACATCTGTGCCTACATTGAAGAAGTTTTTCATTAGTTTTCTTTTTGAACAAGGACCAAAATATTTGGAAGATTCATATATGTAACCAACGGTAAGAGGAGATAAAGTGGCAATACAACCAAAGATTGTTTGTATCAATTTCTTACAAGGACTCACTGTAATTTGGTCACTCCTTTGGAAGAAATTCAAGGGAACATAAACATCATGTTCTAGATTTTTTTATATGGCATGTATTGTAAAACCCTTATTTTAATCACAACAATTTAGTACATGTAATTCATCATTTTGACATTTTGCTCATTGTGTTATGCAAATTTTTAATTTTTGAACATGTTGCACCATATGTACTGGTTGTGCTAATCCTGGGGAGATTGTATTGAGAATTCAATAGCTTCACACCCAAGATTATCCAAGATTTTTTTAAACATCCCATATACTGTAAAATGTCAAGTTTATCATGCAAAAAATAAACACTATAAAACGTTATCTAAAGTATGTACTATAAAAGTAACCACTGCAGGCATCTAGAAAGATAGATTATTTATAAAGGTGTAATTCTAATACTCGTAATTGGCTGTTATATAACAAGTAAATTCTCTTTTTTCATTTGCATGATCATGAAGCACAGGCAGGCAGATCCTGAATTTTAAACACATTTGAAAGGGAAACTTTGGGTAATTTCCAATGAATTTCCTATAGTTTTCTAAAATTATGATTGATCCATATTTCCTATAATTTAACTTGCAGAAACCATTACAGTATATCTAAAAATTTCCTTCTATTTCTAATCCAAAAGAGTAAGGATTTGATATCCAACACAAGTGAAACCAAAAAGAGAATTGTAGTAGGATCAAATATATCTGCTGTTTAAAACTAGAAGGCATTAATGATGCTTGCTTCAGACCAGGCTCTGAAACAATGCCGTTGTGAACTTCAGTAGACTTATCTCTGATACATGTTGATACTACACAAATACATTTTATAAATTGGACTATTTTTGATGAGTGGTGAATTTTTTTCCTCTGTCCTGTGAGCAGAGTTTCTTTCAAGGCTTATAGACTCTCTTAAACGGGGGTTTAACACGATTCCTATATATCCCCTAACCTGGTGGATCAATGGAGAATGTTCAATTAAAGTAGACAGTCAGTATAGTATACCAAAACCTCATCTCAGTTTATGCTCTGACCTATACAAATTTCTAATGACAAAGTATTCCGTATACATTCCCTCTAAAATAAAAACCAAAATTTTACTTTCAACATATTAATTGTTGGCTTAGGGGTTACAGGACATAGCCATGCCACCTAAAGCAGGTGTTGGAAGAAACGAGGACCTAGAGTCTGTAAGAAAAACACAGTTGCTGATCAAGCACTGCAGGAAGGTCAAGCAATTACATCTTAGTGAGTTTCTGTTTCTCTTTTGTTTAGCCCAGTAAGAAGCTGAGTGATCTGTTGTATTGTTGGAAGTACCATCATGGTGGCATTCTGGCCTATTACTGTACACAGAAATGGATACATCATCCTAGAATTCTCTTATTGACCCTATACAAATATAAGCTTTGCTGTAGATGTACTCAATGATTGATCTGGTAACTTAATTTAGGGAGAAAAAAGTCTAAATAACTGCTGCCTAGCAGCTTCATCCTCCTAAGCAGGTGTCCAGAATCCGTATCTCCTTCCTCCCCCTGCTATAACCAATTTGGACGCGCCCGATTTAACTGAATCACGTGATCTAATTATGCGCAATGACTTCTGACTTGATTTCTGTCGCAGTGTTGCGACAGCCAATCAGATTGCGAGTTCTTAATCGGGGAAATGGTAACTCACTCAGCTTATCGCAGGGGGTGAAGAGAAAGAATATGTTCTGGATTTTGAAGCCCTGTGATCGGAGGATGAGCAGCTTATATGTTACAAATAGCCTGTTCAAATGAAACAGACACTCAAATAACTAATTTGCAATAATTACTCTAATATCAGTTGGTAAATGTTCTAAATATAAGACTTTTCACATTATGCACATGTAATACTGAGCTTAAAATAAAAATCAGCATATGGAGGATAGACTTATCGCTCATACAGGGGTCTTTATATATAATATTGTATTATTATTTAGGTTGTGGTAGAACATATTCAATAGCTATGATTATATCATTTTATTTTTTATTTAATTGCTTGTGCATGTGTTTGTATTTAAACTGCGAGAACAATCATTTCTAATCTAGTTAACAGGTTGTGCATGGTCACTGGGGCTGAATAAACTGCTTCACACCCTAAAAGCTTATGTGTATTTAATAACTTTGCTTGACATTCTAAAATAAATGTAAATTTAGAAGTCAGTATAGACTATATCCTATTTAGTCTGAATTATATTCAGACTATAAGGCACCTATGTTAAAGTTTGGCAATTCTATATATTTGTTTACATAGGAAGTGCTATTCAAAATGGCCGATTGGGTAAAATTAATTTGCACATTTGTTACTTCAACTAGCTTTATTTCCACTTGACAATATGCTATGTTACTTTTTATTGCATTTAATTGTACCTTACTATTTAATTGAAATTTTGTAATGTTTATTTTATTGAAAAAATGGTTCCTCCAATTGATAATTTTGTGCAAAAAATTTCACTGCAATTTCCACAGGAAAGTAGTACATCATAACAGACTGACTTCTAGTCAGTCTGTTGGATACATACTAGAAGTCAGTAGGTGTGAACTATTCTGTATGGAAGCAGGATATCACATCAATGCTATTACAAAGTAGATGACTCCTGGTGATTCATAGATAAAATTCATTAGCATTTATGATAAAGCATGAAGCAATGAAGCTGATAACTTCAGCATCTTTACTTTTATCTAAAGGCCTTGTTTCGTTGGCTTTTAATATTTTGAATCTAATCTTAATATAATTTCTTTATGTTGTTGTTAACGATGGGTACAATTTCTCAAATATTCAAGCAATGTCTAGTCTGAGACTCGATATTATGTCCTTTATTCTGTGACTTTAAATAACTTATAATAAGGAGGTTTTGAAATGACAAAAGTAACTGAATTTCTTATTTCAAAGTATGCTATTAATTAATATAAACTTATAGGCCTATATTACCTGCGGGGTTGTAGATTGAAGCTGATTGGTCAAAGCATCCCTTTCTCGCTCTGTTTCTTCAAGCTTGTTCTGTAGCATTGCCAACTGCTCCTGAGTTTCACGTAATGTTTCCATGAGTTTATCTCGCTCATCGAGCATATTGACCATGAGCTGTTCAAAATTGGCGTCATCTCCCGAATACTGAGAGTCCCTGTCTGTCGACCCATCTTCAGATATGGTCGGCATGACATCACACATCATCATTGCTGAAGACTTTGTTTATAATCCAAATAAATAGCTAAATACTGACCCAATTTCCTGGGATCTTTGACTTTCGATTTTTGGGCAAAAATTTGAAAAATGGAACAAAACGACACATGAAAATGTCGGGGTATTTTCAGTTATACCTTACATCTTTAGGGTTCGTACATAATCCGATCCTTTTGTCTTAATATTTCCAGGTATATCCATGTTGTCAGATATTAATCATATTTGATATATTCAAGGTAAATAAGCTTCAAATCCAATCAATTTTTACAAACTTGGTAGCCATTTTTCGGATCGATCCCACAATGCATCAAAATAAGCTATGCGCATGCGCAGTAATTACTATCCAATATGGCCGCCAAACCTCCGTGGAATTTAGAAATTTTTGAGACAAAAAATGTGGGAAATGTGTCCCCCTAGAGAGTATACAGACCTTTTGGTTAAATACGAAGAATGCCAAGACATTCGAGGAAACCTCCTCAAAAGAAAGGAGCGAGTTACTCAGCATGTGTTGCCCAGACAGGTAAATTTAGTAAAAAAATCTCCGAGCAACAGGTATTCAAATTCAAACACTTCAGAATAAACAGATAAACGAATTTCACAATTGTTGCGAAATGAGTTATTCAAATTGTTGGTTTAATTAGCATCAGGTATGTTTTTATCATTGAACCATGCAAACTTATCCCGTGCCAGGACTATAGTCCGTTGAGTCCTGCGAACGTCTTATAAGATTTGCCAAGTATCAAGGTTCATCTCACAAATTGGAAAAATCTTCAGCAGGCATAAAGTGTTTGGCCAAAAGTGAAGTTCAGTACAAAATCCTGGAAACGGCACTGACCTAAATGTGACCAAAAATATGGGTGCTATCGTCGGAGATAGGATGGATATTGAGTTGTAAAAAGAATATGGTAGAGGTACTACTTTTTTCAAGGCCTGACTTCGTCGCTAACATGCTAAATATAAGAGTTAGCTGACGTTTGGGAGTCTGACTTACCTTCTAAAGGTTAGAACCCGAATCTTAATGAAACCATATCACCTTTGTTCCGTCAACCATGGAGCATTTGCCACAACATCCAAGAGGTAAATCATGGATCGAGAAAATGAATGATTTCCTCCGGAAGTTTCAATACGAAAAATTACCGAATATATGTGAAAACCAAATATTTGTTCGTTGTTTTCACGATTTACAGGTTCGTTTGTTCTTCAATGTTTTGGTCTAATTTATAAAGCATCACCAACAGGTCTTACTCTATTAATCGACTAATACAGCAGACGGCTCATATTTCTATGTAGCATTTCATTCAGACCAATAGTAGGAGTGTAGATCACGCAGTTTCGTTCGTTGCGTACTTCACTTGAAATTGGTAATTTTAAATATATTGACTACTTCACTTAGCTTGGCGGATGTAGAACATTGCTTAATATTCTTTTAATTTTCACACCAGACATGCTTGGTTGACACGTCAACAAAGTAAAGTTCAAGGGTCAATGCGTTATTTCGTTATAACTACAACGCCTTCCCGGAAGTCAACATTGATGAAAAATGAAAAAGTCGGAAAAGCATTTACGCTAATTTCTATCAAATGCTATGTTTATGCATCATCATCGACGCAACAAAGGTGATATGGTTTCATTAAGATTCGGGTTCTAACCTTTAGAAGGTAAGTCAGACTCCCAAACGTCAGCTAACTCTTATATTTAGCATGTTAGCGACGCAGTCAGGCCTTGAAAAAAGTAGTAGATGCTCCAAGGAAACTCTTCTAAAATGCTTTAAAAATGTTTTATGAGGATTAAAAAATGCCACACATTCAAGGTCATATCCGAAAAGAAGTGCTGCTGTTTACATGGCCTAGGGAGCAGTGTTTTACCATGAGACAAATCCAGTGATGTAGTGTTTGGACTGATGAGTTTATCAAGTAGCCAGTGAGACTCTTGGGTAATTCATCACTGCGGGGGGATATGCTTATCTTTCAGTTTCAATGCAAAATCTGATCGCCGATTGGTTGATTAATTTTGTCATATGTTGGGGCAGTTTCGAGATTCCCATGATTGCTACACCTATCGCAAAACCATATTTATAAGCAAGCAGACCTCATGATGAGTCACGAGTGATGTCACATGGCTTCTAGTTGATCGACCAATCAAAAGCATCTCATAGTGATCAGAATTGCGCCCATGCACATGTTAATGCAATGCTATAGTCCTTTGGACTGCCAAGTTTTCACAAGGACCGGTGATTAAACTGAAGTTACAGGTCTCAATGTTTGATGTGTTTAGGTATAGACTGGTCAAAATGTAGAATCTGTCAGTCCGGTGGTCCTTTGATGTATTTTGCCTTAAGAATAACACTGCTAGGGACACACATCAACTATGAATTTGGCAGAAAACTGAACTTTGATTTCGGCCGAACACTAAGTTTTGAAATACCTGTAACGTCTCATTTGTGAGTTGAATCATGATACTTGGCAAATCAATCAATGTAACTTTGGATAAGCTTTAAATGATATATGCCACTGTTACAGTAGTGAGCTACATGTCTATTATATTCTACTATATTCACCTATAGTTTTTTAATTTGTAATCTATGCTTGCTGTACATGTTGAGCTATTCTTCATTAGAGATCTTAGGTCAAGGTCACAATGACATTATACACTGTATCTTGTAAACAAAACTGAACTGAATGACTCATTAACCCTTGACCATCCAGATAGTTCTAGAAATTATAACCATTCATTAAAATTTAATCATGTCACTAAAGATGTCCAATCAAGATGTAGTTCCAGAAGATTCGTTTCTGGATCATTCTTTCACATTATAAAAAGAACAGCACAGTGACTCTCATTAGCAGATAATTAAGTAATCATAACTGGACATCTCAAAGGAACTAAATAAAGCAGAATTTCAAAGTTTATCAAAAGGACATCTTCTTAGCGGAATATTACAGACACCTACTGTGGGAACATTTATAACACTACAAACACACAACCTGAGGACTTTATATGGACATATATTATAACACACACTATATACGGATTATCAAACATTTGTGGATTATCATCAAACATTTGTGGATTATCATCAAACATTATTGGATACGAACATTATAGGATTACGACAAACATTATTGGATTATAACAAACATTGGAGAACTATTAACGATTATTGAAACTTTCGTGATCTGGAACATTCTCAAGGATCGTCAAGGATATTTATCGACATCAAGAATAAGCGGTATCATTGATTGGACATCACTTAAGTATTAAACCTCCTTTATATTATTGTTATATAATTTAGTTTTCAAAATATAAATATATTGTAATCATATTTTAATTGCTGTTTTTACTTTCTGTTATTTTCGAACGTAACAGAAATTGGGGGCTCGTCCGGGATACAACTATAACAAGCTAAAATTCATAAATCTTAAAATTCAAAATTCCAAAATTATAAATCTAAATTGTGAAGACAGCAATTAATCAAAAATGAGTTTTGAGGTTGAGACATTCTTAGAAGCACCCTCTTTGGAGGAATTTGATGATTTAAAGAAAACTGAACTTCTGGCAATTGCAAAACATGTTGGCCTGTCAGTCAAAAGCTCATACAATAAAGGTACAATCAAAAACTTTGTACTTCAATATTTGATCGCAGAATCACTTCTGCCTGAGCAGCCAGCCCAGCATGTTGAGCATGATCCTATTAGACTTAAAGAGCTTGAATTTCAACAAAAATTGCAACTGAGAGAGCTTGAACTTAAACTACACAATGAAATCAGAGAGAAAGAAATGCAAAATGAAAGAGAAATAAGGGAACAAGAAATGATTAAATACAATGTAGAAAAGGAAATAGAATTAAAACGTCTTGAGTTAGAAATTAAAAACAAAACTGAAGAACATGCTCTTGAGCATCAATGTTTTAAAAATAGGTTCGATGCAGCAGATAACATTGAACTTGTACCAAAGTTTGAAGAGAATAATGTTGATAAATATTTTCCTCATTTTGAAAAAGTAGCCTTGTGCCTAGATTGGCCAAAATCAGTATGGCCTGTGATGCTTCAAAGCAAGCTTACTGGTAAAGCTAGCGAAGTGTATTCAGCTCTCTCCATTGAAGCAAGCTCTGATTATGATCAAGTTAAAAAGGCTGTTCTTAAAGCCTATGAACTAGTGCCAGAAGCATATAGGCAAAAATTTAGGTATACTTATAAACAAGATGATCAAACCTATGTAGAGTTTGCTAGGGAGCAAGAGCAATTTTTTGACAGGTGGCTTGTCTCTAAAGATGCATCTGAAAACTTTAAGAAGCTCAGAGAGCTTATGCTTATAGAACAATTTAAAAATTGTGTTCAGCGCCGTATTAGAATTTATTTGGATGAACGCAAAGTAGAAACTTTGAGTCAGGCTGCCACCCTGTCTGATGATTATGCGCTTACTCACAAAGGTAGTTTTATTAAAGGTAATCCTAACTTTAGAGGTTATCAAGGTAACAAACCTTCATATGATACTAAATCAAATCAGTCCTCATCATCAAATACATCACACAAAGCAAAAGACCAGTCTAATTCATCACAGAGTTCTAGCTCAAAATCAGATCAATCAAAATCGTCAGGTCCAAAATCAAATGTCACCTGTAATTATTGTAAAAAGCCTGGTCATCTTATTTCTGAATGCTATAGGATTAAGAATAGAAGAGAGATGTCTGGTTCTGCTCATTCAAATGGTTGTGCTACAGTTCCCATTTCAAGAAAGCCCATTGTTTGGGATTCATATACTCATACTGAGAAATCTACTCATAGTAATATTATGGAGGATTATAAGCCTTTCATGTCGGAAGGATTTGTGTCACTGACAAGTGATGATACCAATTCAAAGCCTGTTAAGATTCTTAGAGACACGGGTGCATCTCAGACCTTGTTGTTAGAAGGTGTCCTTCCTTTATCTGAGGAGTCATTCACAGGTACCCATATTTTGATGCAAGGCATTGAATTAGGATTTACTAAAGTTCCCCTCCATCGTATTCATATCACATCAGAGTTAGTCAAAGGGCCAGTTATTGTTGGTGTTAGGCCACAACTCCCTGTTGAAGGAGTCGCATTGCTTTTAGGCAATGATTTAGCTGGGGGTAAGGTATCATTAGACCCCATTGTTTCTGATCAGCCTTGTTCTATTGAGGATTCTGTCCAAGAGGACTCTGATATATATCCTGCTTGTGCTGTTACTAGGGCTATGGCTAAAAGGTTAGCTAATAGCGGGGATTCGTCTGTGGGAGATGACTTTGATAGTGGGTTTTTAAGCTCCTTGTTTGATGATGAATGTCACTCACCACTTGTTAAAGATGATCCTTATCCTATTTTAAAGGCAAATTCTTCATTGAAACAGCCTTCTGTTCGAGCCAAGCAGTCATCTATTGAGGCAAATTCTTCATTGAAAAAGCCTATTGCCAGAGGTGATTCACCTTCTGAGCAGGATCACTATTTTGATGCGGTTTCGCCCGCTCTTGCTAGTCCTGATGAAGTTTCATCTTCTTCTGCT